ATGTCCATATATATATACAGATAAGACAAAAGGTGGGAGAATCCAATAGTGCAATATGCCTGGTACAGTGAATGTAATAAAATACTGATGATATTGCACTCACATTTAATAGAGCTATGGCCAGCACTAGCGTGTAACGCTTTCAGTGGTACAATCCCCACTTCTAGGATGTGAGGTGAGTGTCCTTGATGGTAGGATCATCTACAACCTATCGTTCCTGTAAGTTTTCTTGTAATTGTCCTATTTATAGTTAAATCCCCCCCCCTCTTATAATATTGTAAAGTGCTATGGAATCTGTTGGCGCTATATAAATGGTAATAATAATAATAATAATAATAGGGGTTCCGGGTGCTCAAGAAAAGAACTAAAAGGCAACTATAGGGCTCTCAATAAAAAAATGTATAAAATATTAAATATAGTAAAATATACTCACAAAGCTAGAGAAGGCTAACTGCTCTGTGGTCTCAGCATTGGTGGTATGATCCCCACCTAGGATTCTTTGGAGTGGAGAGTAGAAGATAGTGTAATGCCAGGTAGTATGTATTAAATAATAAAAATAATAATAATAATAATAATAAAAATAAGGGTGATTGGTACAATTCTCAAGTGTAATGGCCAAATTCCCTTTATTAATTAAAATACAAACATTAAATTCTATTTCCCATTTTTCCCATTTTGAAAAAGCCACATTGGTGAAAATGCATTTAATGTTTGTTACCTATTTGTATTTATAATTAATAAAGGAAATTTAGTCATTACACTTGAGAATTGTACCAATCACCTTTTTTTATTACTATTATTTTATTTTGATTTATTTTATTTTATACATCCACATCTTTTATCAAGCCAGTGACTTGTGAGACTTTTGTTTTGTGAATATAGAGTATACATATTTGGTTCATGGCCGGTTTTCGGTAATCCGGATTGTTAATCGCAGGTCAGGGTTTTTGACTGTCAGTCTCTGTGTTATTATACACTGGTATGGAAATTCCACGTATCATTCCTCATCATTTCTTTCATGTCTCCAGTCTGAGCATGGACATACGGTATTTCATAACACCATTAAGGCAGTCATTTGGGGTTTTAGGATACATAAATCTCAAGGAGAACTGCTGATGTAAATTGTATGACTGACTGAGAGTGATTAGAGTTGGTGTTTATATTGTCTAGTATTTCCTTTTGTGAAAAACACTTGTCAGTTGTGGACCTGGCAACATCTACTTGGCGGGTATTAGTGGAATAAAGTGGAATTTTCATAGCAAAGCTTTCGGAGTTGTTTACTAAAGTGAGATTTCAAAGTGAATTTCAAATTCGCCCCATTAAAGGAACACTATATTGTCA